GTCCCTCAAGCAAACCTCCAAATCACCCACTGCCTTGTGGGTCAGGCTATAGAGCCAAAGGCTCCGGGTGGAGTCCCTCAAGCAAACCTCCGAAGCACAACGACCACCTCGCGTGCGATTGCCCACCAATGCAATCGTATGCCTGCGCGCAAAGCACTCAGCATCGGGTGCTGGAACGTGCGCACACTACTGGGCCGGAACTCCAGCGAGCGCCCGGAGCGACGCACTGCACTGGCGCGCTACAACATCGATATTGCGGCGCTCAGTGAAACTCGGCTCGCTGAGCAAGGTAAGTTGCATGAAGCAGGTGCTGGCTACACATTCTACTGGGTGGGCAATGCCGCCTCAGCACCACGTGAACATGGGGTCGGATTGGCAATATCCGATCGCCTCCATGGCCAGCTGGTGGGTGAACCAACAGGCATCAGCGCGCCACTGATGACTGCTCGCCTACGACTCGGAAGAGGTAAGTTTGCCACTTTTATAAGCACGTACGGTCCGACCATGTGTTATCCTGATGACACGCGTGATCAGTTCTACACTCAGCTATCCTCCGTGATACGGTCTGTGCCGAGGAGCGACCGACTATTTCTGCTGGGTGATTTCAACGCGCGCGTTGGGCGTGATACATCAGTGTGGACAGATATTATCGGTCCGCATGGCATTGGCTCAGCGAATACGAACGGTGACAGGCTGCTCTCACTGTGTGCCACTCACGGCCTGACGATCACGAACACTCGGTTTGCACTGAGTGCGAGTGATATAGCAACTTGGACGCACCCACGGAGTGGTCATGCTCACCTGCTCGACTATGTCATCGTACGTCAGCGTGATATGTGTGAAGTGCGCATGACACGTGTACTGTGTGGAGCTGCGTGTGGCACTGATCACAAGTTGGTGCGGACCAAACTGTACATATATTTTCGTAAATCAATGTATTGAACTCCCGCTGTGAATCGGCGTAAATTTAACATTCTCTCCCTCGGTACTGTGGCGAAACGTACTGAGCTGGAGAAGGCGATGGCTGCACGCCTGTGTGATGTGGACTGCATAGCCACAGTGGGCGACCTGTGGCACCATATTCGCGACCAGGTGACAGCTGCTGCCGAGGAGACCATCAGGCGCGCAAACTGTAGGCGGCCTGATTGGTTTGATGACAATAATGTGACGATTGGCGCATTGGTGTCTGAGAAGAATGCAGCATTTGATAAACATGTGGCAGACCTCAGTGACTTGCGGAAGAAGAGTCAGTTTCGCAAACTTCGACGGCGACTGACCCGAGAGATCCGTCGCGTTAAAAATGCATGGTGGACGGAGAAGGCGAAGCAGATGGAATGCTACGCCGAACGCCGTCAACATAACAAATTCTTTGACTATTGAAGGCGGTGTATGGACCGAGATTGGAGCCGCTGAGCACGCTACTCGATGGTAGTTCAGGCGTTACCTGCACCCAGACTGCAGACATAATGCAGATCTGGCGGAAAAACTTTGGCTGTCTCTTGAACAACCGTTCAGAGATCGACTGGCCTACATTGAACGGCCTGAATCAGCAAGATGTGAAGGCCAGTCTGGCGGACACGCCGACACTGGATGAGACGCAGAGAGCACTTGCTCAGCTGCGAAACGGCAAGTGTGCCGGAGCCGACGGGATCCCGCCTGAAGTATTAAAACACGGCAGACCCGCGTTGTTGACTGCGCTGCACCACTTGGTGCAACGCGTGTGAATTGAGGAGAAGGTGCCTAATGAGCTGAAGGATGGCCTTGTGCTATCACTGTACAAGGGCAAAGGTAGCAAGCAATGTTGCACGAATTATCGTGGCATCAACTTGCTGAGTTGTGTAGGCAAGGTGATTGCCCGGATCCTGCTCAACCGCCTCGTGAGTCAGGTTGTGGAACCTAATGTGGCGGAGGAGCAGTGTGGATTCCGTTCGGGTCGCAGCACTATAGATATGGTGTTTGCGGCTCGTCAGTTGCAAGAGAAGTGCAGAGAACGACACAAGCCATTCTACTCGCATTTGTTGATTTCACCAAAGCATTTGATACGGTGAACCGCGAGGCATTGTGGCTGGTGTTGGGTAAGTTTGGTTGTCCGAGTAAGTTTGTAAGTTTAATTGAATGTCTGCACAGTGGTATGCGAGCGCGGGTGCAGCTGAGTGGATAGACTTTGGATGACTTCGCAGTTGTCTCTGGTGTGAAGCAAGGCTGTGTCTTAGCTCCTGCCCTGTTTACTATTTACCTTCATGCAATGTTGTCCTGTGCTTTTGATGCCGCTTGTGCTGACGGTGTTCGTGTGGAGCACCGTATTGATGGTGGGTTGTTGAATGTCCGTCGTTTCGGTGCGAGAACCCTAGTCTGTGAGACAACTATCCGTATGTTGCTGTTTGCTGACGACTGTGCGTTGTTTTCACACAGCGCGGAGGAGTTGCAGCACATGACGAGTGCTCTGGCTTCGACGGTGGCCAAATTCGGGCTCACCATCAACACAAGCAAAACTGTCTGTCTCTTTCAGCATTCCCCGGAGGTGTAATCTTCAATATTGCCGCGAATCAGCATTGGTGCTGAAGTATTGGAAACCACCTCCCGTTTCACCTACCTTGGGAGTGTGTTGTCGACTGATCAGCAGCTACACGTTGAGTTGCGTATTCGTGTGTCGAAGGCAGCGGCAGCATTCGGGAAGCTTGAGTACCGAGTGTGGAACAACCATCAGCTTAGCATTGGCACGAAGCTGATGGTGTACACACCCATGGTACTGTCCGTTCTTCTATACGGCAGTGAAACGTGGACGGTGTACCGTCGGGATATGCGATATCTCGAGCGATTCCATCAGCAGTGTCTGCGACGAATTTTGCGGATCGGTGGGGGTGCCAGAGTTGCAGACACGAAAGTGTTGCGCCGAAGTGGGATGTATGCAGTGGACGGCATACTTTTACTGCGACACCTGAGATGGCTCGGTCATGTGAGCCGTATGGATTCGACGCGGATACCGAAACAACTCTTATACGGTCAGCTGAGTATGGGGAAGCGGCATGCTGGGAAACCAAAGTTACGTTACCAGGACATGATTAAAGTGAGCCTCACACGTTCTAATCTTGATTGCAGGTCATGGGAATCGAAAGCGGTTGATCGGCGTGTATGGCGCGATCTAATCACGAAAGCAGTTGCTGAAGTGCGGGAGAAAGACCTCATGCATGCAGAGAAGAAGCGGCAAGTGCGGAAGCGGCAAGCTCCAATGAATTGTACTCCATCGACATCGAGCGCATGGTGCTGTAGAACATGCGGTCGCGAGTGCCTGAGTCAGGCAGGCCTAGTGAGCCATGAGAGAGGTCACTCGGGACCACTGCCGAAGCGACGACGGGTCCCGCATTGAACGTAGGCAGCACCGGCGCAGCGTTTGTAGGTACGCTGCATTCGATTTACTAACCGCGTGCTTGGATGCTAAGTCTCTTTATTTCAGGTGGTGGGTTTTCAATTTTGTCCTAATGCCTTTCTTTCTCCTATAAATGTCTAGTGTCGAGTGAGCCATGAGTGAGGCCACTCGGGACCACTACAGAAGCGACGACGGGTCCTGCAGAGAAGCATTCAAAACCGGCACAGCGTCTGTAGATATGCTGCATTCTTTTTACTAACCGCGTGATTGCATGCTAAGTCTCTTTATTTCAGGTGGTGGGTTTTCAATTTTGCATTAATGCTTTTCTTTCTCGTATAAATGCCTACCTGTACTCTATTCCATTAACTTGCACACCTCGCTTAAGCCAATTGTATTCGGTTTCCGTAGCATATTTGTGTTCGTGGCATTCCGTGGACTATACTTTCTGACCTCGTGAACTTATCTAGGATTCGTTTGTAAACAACTTATTTCATATGCTCATTAACTTAAGCTTTATGTCAACGTTTCCTTATGCATCAAGCGAGTTATTTTCTTTGTTCTCTCTCTCTCTCTCTCAAGTGTTTGGCTGTTGTTTGATATCCCCGGTGTGTCTGCGCTTGATGTGCATGTTAACAAGGTGCCTACCTGTCTATTACCCACTACCTCGTCCATACTGGCTCCAGCAGACAGTTGGTCGTTGCTGGAGGGGACGGGGAGCACGGTCCTTGTGGCCCTGTTAGGATCAAAGAGTGGTTCCATGCAGTCAATGTGGAGCGGACTACGGTCCAGCCACCGCCTTGTGTGCGCTTGATTCCCAAATACAGTGTGCTTGTGTTTGCCTGTGAAGGAGTGTGGGCCGGCTCCGTAGGTAATACGTGGTTCCCATCTGCATGCCTCCCGGTCTTATTTCTTCGGGTTTACACTGGATATGGGATGTGTGGTTGGAGCTGTGGGTGGTGCAGCGCAAGCCATCCATGGTCCCTCTGTAGGTGCAGGCGTCCTGTGGCTGGCCACAGTGACAGGCAAATATGAACCCGGATGCCGCCAACCATATATATATGTATATATATAACCTAATAATACTACTATGCTATGTTTTAGTAACAGAGCACACTTCACAGCAAAGGGGTGAGAAGCAAGTGCTGGCCTCTTCTGTTGATTTGTTTAAAATAAAGGCGGTTGTTGAGATATTTGAAAGTTGACTTAGCTAGTTTACTATTGTGGACATGCGGTCATGCACGTTCACTTTTACGAAACTGCGTCGGAATTGGCACATGAAACTATTCGAATGCGAGCTTGAAGGATTGGTTATGGCTTAGAATACCCCATTCAAATCGCGGCCCAAATAACGATGGGTAACCAGAAATTTAGCACAAATACGATGAATAAGTGCGTGTTTTCGGTATAGTGAATAGTTGTTTCCGAGGTAATTGCCAATATCCCATTCCATGGGCAGATTAACTCAAGCAGTGTTTAACTTACATAAATTCACACAAATATTAACTCTGAACCAATAATAACTGGCTAGAGTCGTTACCGACCTTGGTGTTTATACTGAATCTACATTCAGTTCCCTTTAACAATCTTTATCAATAAATGCATGTGTTAACCGGTTAGTGACTATAAAACCTACCTAATATCCGTCTTCTGAGGTATGGAACGAAAATAAACTTGATGCATATCACAGTGATCGTTCCGCAACCGAAGCTGATGATGAACATTCCGTAAATGGGTACTTTGTTGAACTGAAAGACTAAAGAAACGGTTTAGTTTAGTGCATTCACAATATAAACAGTAGACAGAAATAACAACGGTGCTGTCAGCTTAGCTAACTGGCACCACTAAGTGGAACGGGGCACGCGCATAGCTCGTGGTGCGTGTGTGCGTTCATTACTGAAAAGTGCGAAAATATGTTTTGATATAAGCCGAAAATGATTATTAGCTTCAGCGATTTTAAGCAACGTTTTGTGGGGATTCTTAATCCATCACCAGTTTGTTATCAAATGTTTTCATTATCCATAAGTTAACACATTCGATGGACCATTTATTCTTTCCAATGTAAATGATCCGTCCTAACACTCAAATATTTAGTTGGAAAACCTCACCTTGAGAATCTGACCTTGAGAGCCCCAGGAGTTTTCAGATGGCAGAATGGACAATTGGTTAAAATAGCAGGAAGTCATCACAAGACAAATCATCTCTAGTAAGTTACAAAATTGTCACACTGAACTACCGGCGATCAGGCAGGTAGTACTGTGCATCCGGTGTATGTTTGCCGAGAGATCGTGCGTGTCAACAACCCAGTCTCAATCTTTCCGCTCTCATAGTTCGCTTGGATTTAATCTCTAGGTTCATAACGTACACACGTTTGTAAGTTTGATCAGTGATGCACAACGCATTCCATCTTGTGGATGTAACTCGCGTGCACCGCCTGTTATCTCCATGGCGTAGTTAATGTATACTTCCCGCAGAAAAATACGTGCGCAATTTCTCAACCCTTGAGCCGTACAAGAAGTTGATCGTCTCAAAGAAAAACCACTAATGAGAGCATTAAAACCGGCTCAAAGCCATACCTGTCGACCTCCAAGCTATGAATCTAGCAGACATATTCTACCCTTTCCTGCACGACGAATTTTTGCACCTCATAGTGGTATCTGAGCGTTAACGCGACCGCTTGGCCCACCCACGAAGTCTAATAAGGCATTGCGTCGTGATACAGAGGTGCCGACATCAAATCCGGCCAGTTCAGCGTGCAGACGGAAATTTAGGCCTATACTTATTCCCACTGGATCCAAAGCAATTGAAGGAGGCGATATTAAACGTAGGTAAGCACCAGCGGTTGTGTGCAGATAGTCGGGTCATTTGACAACAACCAAGACTGCACCACATAGTATGCAGCCGGTAATCCGCGCGATTGCTCCCAAATCAACGTCAAATTCCTTATGAACAATGACTTCAGCGGGTTAAGAAGCACTGCTGTCCAAGCGCCGTTTGGTGACCTGGTTGGAAGATAACTCAATGAAGAGAGCCAGTGGAAGTTCATATGTGACATCCTAGATGTTGTACCCAAGTCCTCCAACCTTATGTGGGTTACTCGTCATCCAATTTCAAAGCACTTCCGTGAGCACAAAATTCTCCGAGTAGTGCTGAATTCCGTTAATAAAACAGAATCAGTTCTGCTATGGATCCTCCGCCTCAGTGATGGATTCTGTTCGGCCCCTGTCTTCCAAGATATTCCGTTGGGCGAGAGTAAACAGACAATGTATGACTCGAATGACTACCAGAGGAATCCATAGCTAGGGCAATCATTGTCCCCGGTGTCCCCCAGGCTGGAGGAAATGGTGTTTGCGAAACAAAGACGCACGGCCAGGAGCAGTGGCGCTACATTGGTGAGACGCCCTTTTCGTAAACGTTGTGGCTCAATCACTATCGAGGCTACCTATTTCACTGGGCCACAATAACTGTGGCAACATGACTGTGAAGGTGCGCCTTTACTCCAGCAGGATGACAGTAAGCGTATTGGAGCACGGGTATGTACATCACAGCGGGCTACTTTCTGAGCTCCGACTTAATTCGGCGTACTCCTCTAAGAGAAACTAAAGGTGGAACACATTCGAACAGCTTACTTGCAGCAGCTCGGTTACCACTATACAACCAGCCTGTGGTGAAGTGAAGAGTTCTCCGCACGACTGTTGTTTGCTGCGTAAGTTGTTTCATACTTATATTTTTATTTGTACTCCGGATAATGAGGCAGTCTGTGTGTCGCATCTTGGTCATCCTTGTTTATATGCATTCACATCTGGAATGCGATCCGAACGCTACATTTTAGCTTATGAAACATTACTTCGTATTTCATTCGCTAGCTTTTCTTTGGTTGCTAGCAGTCTAGCGAGCTTGCACGTTTCGACAATAAACGTATACCTTGTCCATTTTTGTTCGTCTTTCCACTTTTTCCGACGGTTGGTTGATTGTGTGGAGATAGCATTCAACTGTTGAATGCACTGTAAGTCTCCAAAACCGATCTCCATAATCTATGTCACAGACAGGGAATTAGTCGAAACCACTAGACCTGGCTCGTGTCGATTTGTCAATGCTCCAATGGAAAACGAATAGCCGTCTAGAATGCATCGGTCGGCGCAACTCAACACCCTAAACAATACAGTTCCATTAATTAGTAAAACTAGAGATAGTTCCATGTCAACACACTAATGCGCAAGTCATCCCCAACCTGCTTGCTCAACCCCTGGCATGCACCTTCTCCACTACTATCTCTTCCGTGCCTTATAGCACCGAAGCAAATTTGCAAACTTCGTATGCGTCAGGTTGCAACTGCATAGGACCTCATTTCCATCACTGAAACATGTTGGCATCCAGCAATTACCAATTTTGAAGTCTTGCTACTAGGACTGTCACCTATCTGATACGACCGTCGTCGAAGAGAAAGTGAGGTTCTCTCCTATTACTTCAGCGACCTGCAATGTGAGAACGGGGAAGACCCGGAAAATTATGCCTCCGGCTCACTCCCGTGTAGTTTCTGGTTAATGCACAATGACGTATGTCGAGTTGCTGTCCTTTATTGCCCACCAGCATCCATTTGTGAGATGGATTACTGCTGAATACTAGATCTGAGCAGAGTTACAGGGGTAACCATATCCTAATCTTATGCGATTCTTGTGTAAATGATCCGGATGTATCGATGACCACCAGTGAGCGGTTCAAAGCAGACTTGCATGAATTCATCAAGGAGGTCCTCCTGTACAATCAGGTCATTTCACCCGCGCTGAATACTGGAGAGCAAACAAGACATCCGTGCTGCCCTTTTGCACACGAACAGAGTTTACGATGGACAAGCTACTGATGACAAGTCCATTAGGTGCTCAACAATCTTGTGCTTATAACATTTAACTGTTCCCCATGCAGAACCTCCAAGTGAACACACGGACTTGGCTCATACAAGCATGCATACCAGCATTTTAACAGTACTCATTGGGCCATCGGTTTGGCAGGTATCAAACAGCGATTCGTTGATTCAGTAACACGATAATGAGACATCAGGCCACTTCTTTCTACAAATGTGCCGTCATTTCTCTCAAGCAGCATTCAAATATGCATCGCCTCAACGACGAAGCGTAACCTATGGGATTTTCGTGATCATCTGCAACCATTGTACCACACTTATTTGTGAAGACAGAGCTACTTATCACCAGTACCTATCCAAATATATTCAGGCCAACAATAAATAAATGTACTTACATATTGTTAGGAAGGAATACGCGAGTCGAACAAGCCAGGACCCCATAGCCGCGGCCGGAGATCCAAACTCATCCGCCCTGATTGGGGCGAACAGAGAGCCAACCAGGAGAAGCGGCCAATGAACGCTAGGTCGAAGTTCCTTTATTGGCTGTAAGTTAACCTCTCCAGAGCTTTCCATGGTCGCTTTAAATACTATTCATGAACTTTCCATTTTACCTTTATAATGAACGGTATGATTTGCTAATTCATTCCTGTTGCTCTGCTCGTCCGATCCGGTCTTCTCTCTGTCCTGTGGGGGGCCAGCGACTTCGGGTTTGCTTGGGAATCAAGCGTCCATTCAGGCGAGGGACGAACACTTCAGCTGGCGACGGGTTGAACCCTAATCAAGATGTCCATATCGACTGACGAGCTCAAGGCCATTCTGCTGCAGCAACAAGCACAATTTGAGGCATCCCAACTCAAGCTGATCGAAACTTTTACGCGCTAACTCTCAATCCAGACCGGTTCACTGTCTACAACCGTCAAGCCGTCCGCATCGGTAGACGCTATCACTAACAGCATTACCGAATTTTCGTATGATCCTGATGCTGGCCTCACTTTAATCTTGGTTCAAGCGTTATGAAGATGTGTTCCGCGTTGAACTTGGAGTACATCATGACGATTGGGAAGTCCGCTTGCTGTTAAGGAAACTTGGAACAGCAGAGCACTCCAGGTATGTCAACCTTAGTTTACCTAAGAACGCTCGAGACTATACCTTTGAGGAGACTGTCAAATGCTTGGGCCAAATATTTGGAGAGCAGTCATCCATCTTCAACACGGGATATCAATGACTGAAGATCACCAAGGCAGACGCTGATGACTACGTCACTTATGCTGGCATCGTCAATCGCGAGTGCGAAAAATTCGACATCAAATACATTACGGCAGATCAGTTCAAATGCCTGATTTTTATCTGTGGCCTAGATTCCACACGGGATGCAGAGATTCGCACCAGGCTGATCAGTAAACTTTAACAAGACCAGCAAATGACCGTACAGACCAAAACTACTGAATGCCAACGATTAGTGAACCTCAAACATGACACGCTTATGCTGGAGAAGCAACAATCAACTCCAAGTCTTAGTGTATTAAAAACAACCTCAAAGAAACCGCTTCCAAGTGAAACAGGCCATGTAAAGCCCAGAGAGAATCCCAAGCCCCCGACTGCCTGTTGGAGATGTGGTGAGTGGCATTTTGTTCGAGTGTGTCCATTCCTGAAACACGTTTGCCACAAGTGCCATAAACGGGGCCTCAAGGAAACGCGCTGCCGATGTAGACTGCAGTTCAAGCGTGCAAGGCATATGCGACCGAATTTCAATGTTCCCAAACGATTCAGCAGCAATAGTATGGTTCAAGCGACCTACTCTAATGAACATGTGGCTCGCAGAAAGTAAAGCAGAGTTCACCTGGACGGGCAACAAGTGCGTCTTCAGCTAGATACAGCCTCGGACATCACAATTA